AAACCCTGATTTGCATTTATGCTAGTAACTTTTATTGATTCACAACACCCCTCCCCCTTGGGTTCCGTTTGAGGGGGGCTGTAATAAAATCCTCAAGATAGACAGCCCATTTGGTCTGTCTGGATGACTTCCGTGGTTCCACCTGGTTTGGTCTAAGGTCCGGTTCCGGTGGAACGTTTGGACGATCTTTATTAACTACAGTTTCGCTGCACGGTGATTCCGTGCTGCTTCCACTGTGGTTGTCTCTGCTACTCCGTGTTTCTTCGGGGTTTTGCAGTTCAGTTTCCCCCGTATTAAAGTTCCCTGAAAAATTCAACTCCCTCCCCGCTTCAAGTTCCGGTGTTTCTCTGGGCCATAGGGTTTCCGTTGGCCTGCTATTTGTCATATCAAAGTCAATTTCCTCGATATTTCCTCCCCCTTGAGTTGGTGAACCCGGGGAGTCATGGGTGCTGGGTGGTAATCTCGATCGGAGTTGGTCTATGTGGCATTTCCACACCCTCCCATCGTCCGTTAGCAGGCGGTAAGATCTAGGCCCAGTAAGGTGGGTAACGGTTGCGGGTATCCATAACGGGTCACCGGAAAAGTTTTTGGCAAAGATTAAATCGCCTACCTTAAATTCCCGGCATTTGCTGCTGGAGCCGAAGGGCTTTTCCGGTGCGAATGCGGGGTGGAGCCGGTCAAGGTGAGATCGTAGTTTCCGCCCCATAAGAAGTTCAGCGGGTGTTTTGTTGGTCACGCTGTGGGGCGTGATGTGCTGCAACAAGAGAATTCGATTGATTTTCTCGTCGATGTTGCCAAATTCCATTTTGTGGAGGGTCTTTTTTACAAATTGTACCATGCGTTCTGCACGTCCATTCGCCGCAGGGTGCCTGGGCGAGGTTAGCGCATGGCGGATACCCCGATCAGCAAGATATTGTTCAAAGGGTAATGCAGTAAACTGTGGGCCGTTGTCCGAGACCAACGCATCCGGAAATCCGTGTGTGGCAAATAGCCTGTTTAATTTATTGATGACTGAGTCCGTTGTAGTTGTATTCATTCGATGAATCTCGAGCCAGTTTGAATAGGCGTCGACAGTAATAAGGAAAGTGTGTCCTTTGGTAGGCCCCGCAAAGTCAATATGGATACGGGACCAAGGTCCCCTCGGAGTTTCCCATTCGGTTGGGCTTGCTTTAGGCGGGGCGTTGCTGACGTCCTGGCAACGTTGACAAGTAGCGACCCAGGCCTCGATTCTTTTGTCGATTCCCGGCCACCAAGTGTAGCTGT